GGAGCACCTAATTAAATGTCTCCTACTAACTACAGTGTGTGAGCATCTGAGCAGGATCGACTAACAGAACATGGTGGCTGCTGGGCACTGGACCTCTGAATAGCAAGTCTTCTGTCTACAAATACAGATTGTGTAACACTAGAACTGTACAGAGAATCAGCAACTGTAAGTACAGAGTCCCTATCAGACTGCACTATGGAGAGTGGCCTGAAACCCCCTCAGAGACTGGATGTCACTTCTTCCAATCTCTCACAGACATGGAGACACTGGAAGGAAGAGTTTACTCTGTATGTGGACCTGACAGTGGCACCCAGAGATGAGCAGAGGGAAGTAAAGCTGTTTTATTACTTGATTGGGGAAAAAGGCAGAGAACTAGCCGAGACCCTGCTCACAGACAGCATGGCACTGACAGACATACTGCAAGAATTTGATAAGCACTGTGACCCCAAAAAGAATGAGACAGTGGAGAGATACAAGTTCTTCTCAAGGAATCAGGAGATTGGGGACAGTGTGGACAGATATGTGACAGAGCTGAGGAGACTGGCTGCAACCTGTGGATTTGGGGACATCAGGGACTCCCTTATCCGAGACAGGATAGTGTGTGGCATCAGAGACTCTCACCTCAGAGAAAGATTACTGAGGGAGGAAGAGCTGGCTTTGGAGAAATGTATACAAATCTGCAGGGCTGCTGAGCTGACTAAAGACAGGCTGAAGATGATGGAGGGCACCAGTGATGCCTCAGTACATGCAGTATCTGTGAAAGGCAGAGCAAGGTCCAGGCTCCCTGTGAGCTCAGTCCAGTGTAAATACTGTGGCAAAAGACATGAAAGAGACAAAGAGAAATGTCCAGCATATGGGGAGTCCTGCAGGACTTGTGGCAAGATGAACCACTTTTCAGCTGTGTGCAGATTCAAAACCAGCAAACAGTACAGACAAGTCCACACAGTGACCCAGGACACAGACGAGGACAGCACAGAGGGCATCACATGGCTGCAGCTGCAGTCTGCAACAGAGAACGTCAATGTAGTCAAACAGCCAGTAGCCAATGATGCAAAGCAGCTCTTTGCCATATTTATGGTGGATGAACAGCCCATAAGATTTCAGCTGGATTGTGGAGCAAGCTGCAATGTCATTCCATTCACTCTGCTTAACAAACAGGTTCCCATTGAGCCCACTGATAAGGTACTGGTCATGTACAACGAAAGTGTTCTGAAACCCATGGGAACATGCAAGCTAAAATTAAGAAATCCACGTAACAGAAAGAGCTACAGAGTGGAGTTTACTGTGTTGCAGGAGGACGATCACATTCCTTTGCTGGGAGTTAAAGCAGTTCAGGCTATGGACTTAATAAAGGTGCAGTCCCATAACATCATGGCTCTGGAAGTTTCTGAGAATACTCAAAATCCTAAACAAAAGGCAGAATACATTTTGGATTTTCACCACATAAAAACAGAGTATGCTGATTTATTTGAAGGTGATGGGTGCCTGGAAGGTAAATACAAACTAGAAATTGATCATACAATACAGCCTACCAGACTGCCTACAAGAAGAGTACCTGTAGCCTTAATGCAACCGCTTAAAGAGGAACTGCAGGATTTGCACAGCAGAGGTATGATAGCACCAGTACAGGAAAGCACAGATTGGATAAGCAGTTTGGTGGTAGTACAATGTGATGTCTCAGAAACCGGCCTTGGAGCCACACTAATGCAGGATAAACAGCCAATCACATATGCAAGCAGAGCGTTAACTCTAACAGAGCAAGGATATGCTCAAATCGAGAAGGAACTACTAGCGGTAGTATTTGGGTTAGAGAAATTTCACCAGTACACCTACGGTCGACAAGTGGTGGTGCATTCAGATCACAAGCCTTTAGAAAGTATTACAAAGAAGCCACTACTGAATGCCCCAAAAAGACTGCAGCGTATGCTGTTAAGGCTTCAGAAATATGATTTTAACATTTGTTACTGTCCAGGGAAGGATTTACTGATTGCAGATGCCCTAAGCAGAGCTTACTTACCCATCACAAATGAAGAAGAAAAAGACATTGAAAGCATCAATATGTGTGAATATCTGTCTGTCTCAAAAGACAGACTGAAACAAATACAGACCTGCACAGCGGAAGATAAAACTCTACAGATCCTAAAGACTGTCATCTTGAAGGGATGGCCAAAACACAAGCAGCATGCTCCAATGGAGGTTTCTCCATTTTTTCACATAAGAGATGAACTCTCTGTGCAGCATGGAATCATCTTTAAAGGAGAAAGGGCTGTCATACCAAAATCCCTTAGAAGAGACATTATAGAAAGATTGCACTCGACTCACTTAGGTGTAGAAGGATGTCTATGTCGTGCACGAGAATATGTTTATTGGCCTGGAATGAATGACCACATAAAAAACTTTATAGCACAGTGTGAAATATGTGCATCGTGCAATGATAAGCAACCGAAAGAGACATTGCAACCACATCCAATTCCAAACAGACCATGGTCAAAAGTAGGAACAGATCTGTTCACGTGGAACGACAAGGAATATCTGGTAACTGTGGACTATTTTTCCAACTTCTGGGAGATAGACTACTTACAGGACACAAGGGCCAAAACAGTAATTAAAAAACTCAAGGCCCATTTTGCCAGATATGGCATTCCGGATATTGTGTTCTCTGACAACGCCGCTCAATTTACATCGGAAGAAGAATTCAAAAAATTCAGGGAGAGGTGGGAATTTGAGCACCAGACATTATCTCCTGGATATCCACAGAGTAATGGTAAAGCCGAGTCAGCAGTAAAAACAGCCAAAAGACTCATGCAAAAGGCAAAACAGGCAAGTACAGAGATATACCTGTCTATACTGGACCACAGAAACACACCCACACAAGGCCTAGACACCAGTCCAGCACAGCGGCTTATGAGTAGACGTACAAGGACTCTCTTACCAACTGCAGGTTCAGCCAATAGCCAAAGCTTGTGGGCATGACAAAACTAACGAAAAAATAGGAAGCTTTCTATTGTACAGAAATTGCAACCACGATCTGCCTGTTCTAACAGAGGAAGGAAAAGTGGATTCAGCCAATCGGCAGACATCTGAGAAAAACACAAGAAGGAGATGATACAGGGTCCTGGGAACAGTATATGGATACTGGTACAACTGTGTTATTGCCTCTCTTTGGTTGTAGTTCTAAGGCAGACACATGTATAATGGCAGCTAGGAGCACCTAATAAAATGTCTCCTACTAACTACAGTGTGTGAGCATCTGAGCAGGATCGACTAACAGAACATAGCCTGCTGCATCATTTTTTCACTTTGATTTTCGGGGTGTTTTCAGTCCTCTGTAGGTTGATAATTTTCATTTCCATCAAACGATGGGGCATCCTTACATTCCTAACACATTACCCAGTCCATATCAGTATAAGTATCTAGCATGATATTTTTCCCCATTGAGATCTGATGTGTTTTCAAAGTGTTCCTTTAATTTGTTTGAGCCGTGTGTTCTATAATTTATTCATAATATAACTTTCAGATACGCTTCTGGTTCGTTTTCTGATAAAGCAGATTTTAGTATATTTACAAAATGTATCAAGATCTGCCACTAACCACTCTTGGAGTATTGTACCATCTTTTTGGGAGTATGTGTGAACTGTAACAGTGGTTTGGTATGGGTAGTTAATGCCAATGAAGGTATTGGTGATGTATATTTTTTAATACATGCATATTAGTAAATAAAGGTTTTATTAAGAAGATTTTTTTTATGTAGTACCTGTACCCTAATTTTGATACATTGAAAGTCCCTATTTTGTAATTTCGTTTATGTATGAGTAGCTATCATTGGGACGTGGTGTTATTATTATTATACAGGATTTATGCAGCGCCAACAGTTTGCTCAGCGCTTTACAATATATATATGGTGTTGGAACTGTTGAAACCATTCTTCATCATTATCAGTCACATGCAGAGGCAGACTGACCATTCGTGCACTCGGGCACTGCCTGAGGGCCCAGGGTCAGTAGGGGGCCCCATGAGATGCCCCTATTATCTTTCATAGGCTTTTTTGGGTGTGGTTTGAGTGTGGGTGAGGACACGGGGCCCCATGATCCCCTATTGCCCGGGGGACCCATGAGTTGTCAGTCCGCCCCTGGTCACATGATTATATAATACATAAATCAGAATAAATGGTTACATAAAAAAAAAATGGTACTTCCATTTAAAGCATATCTAAACTCAGAACAAAATAGTGATATCCAATCTTTATATGAAGTGGCTGCATTCTTTTTCTTCTTTGTGAGCTTTTTCCATCATTTTCCAGGATGGTTCTTCTATTAATATGTTTGGTGTTCCTGTATGGCTATGCTCACTCCTCCACTGCATCTATGGAGGGAGCCAAGGTTGTAAGTCAGGCTGGACTTTAAGTGTGTTTTTCTATCTTGTATTACATTACATGGAGCACTGAGGAATTAATAGTTCATAGATGATAGCTTGGAAGGAAGATGACATTGTTTATGACTTTTTTAGGGCACAATTCACTAAGCGGTATCTTACTGTATCTGAATATGCCGTAGGATACTGTACAGCTTTTAAAAAAAAAATTTGCATTCACTAAAATATGCTACTAAAATACCGCATGAGTTATTCTATCAAGTCATGCAGTATTTTAGTAGTGAAAACCATGCAGTAATGTTGCAGCTGTCAGCGGGGTTCCCCACTGACAGCTGAATGTAAGCAAAAAAAAATTGCAGGCAATTAAAAAATAATTTAAAAAATGGCGTGGAGTCCCTTCCTCCATCCATACCAAGCTCTCCAGGTCTGGTATGGGTTTTCAAGGGGAACCCCCATGCCAAAATTGTTTTTAAAAATGGCATCTTCCATATTCGAGCATGCAGCCCAGCAGGTAAGGAAAGGGGGGACGAGCAAATGCCCCCCCCTCCTGAACCCTCAGGTCACATGCCCTCAACATGGGGGGTGTTTTGAGGCAGGGAGGCTCCCCCCCCAAAGCACCTTGTCCCCACGTTGATGGGGACAAGGGCCTTTTCCCCACAACCCTGGCCGGTGGTTGTGGGGATCTGCAGGCAGGGCCTGGGGTCAGTAGGGGGCCCCATGAGATGCCCCTGGTACCTTTTTCATAGGCTTTTTTGAGTTTGGGCAAGGACACAGGGGCCCCATGATCCCCTATTGCCCGGGGGCCCCATGAGTTGTCAGTCCGCCCCCAACACTTTAAGTTATATCCATAGGAAGTCACATAAACACTGTTTCTGGTAAAATGATCTGGTATTTTCTTTACTCACCAAAATTGTTCTCAGCCGGAACAAAGGAAACTAATGAGGTCACCATACCGAAGGATTGGTCAGTAGTAGTATAATACATATTTGTTCTTAAATTTAGATATACGTTTAAGAACGGAAATGCAAATACTGCACCATTTCACTATACGTGGAACTTCTGCTCGATTTGCATCCCGTTGTATATGTATGTTAGTAAATATTGTATTTTTGTAGACATCGATGGCTTCTAAGATTTATGCCTTACCATATGCTACGTCAATATATATTTGCAATACAATGTTTTAATCAGCCTTTTTGCTTACAATGCACTATTGGTTGAGTTGCAAAATTCATATTAATGCCATACGGCTTTTTTAAAAAAAAATCCAAACAGCTTCATATGCAATCCCATATAAGCGTCAATTAAAGGCTTAGAAAATCAATTAAAGGCGGAATTAAAAGGGCTGCACACCATGATGAAAAATATATGATATATTAAATGACAAAAACATAGACTACGTGTTGAAAATAATTCATAATTGTATTATTTTCCTATGATGGAATTACTTTAAAAGGAACTTAATTACAAAGAATGTTGAAACCATTCCCAGAGTGACACTGATGAAGAAAATTCAAAAGCTTGTTAGCGCTGATTGGATTTAATGGAAGTTCCCGCATCCTCACTGTAATTGCTCCAAGATAGTTCATGTTAGAGCCAAAATAAAAATCCCTGCAATTTTTTCTTTTTCCAAAGGTATATAATCACCAAGGGTGAGAACTAACAATATCAATGTGGGTTCAGACGTTGGAAGCGTACTTTGCTGCTGAATCATTTGACTTATAATTAAGCTGTTTTCTCATAAAGGGAGATGACTGAAGTAGCCGCAACAGAAAGAGGAATGAAAGAATATTAGATGTCTTCTATAGAGACACAGCTTTAAGTTTTATTTATTGTTCGGCAAAGGCACTGGGATGTGTTTAAAGCAGAACTACGGGCGAATATAAAAGACCCAAAATAATGCAGCTTTGTATTCACGAATGCATCATTAAAGCTGGACTCTCGCCCCAAAAAATAAGATAAAAAGGAATAGTCCTTAAAAAGTAAAATACAGAAACCAGCTTTTGCTAAAATAGCCACCATCAATAGAGAAATTTCCACTGCAGTGCTTATTTTCTGCCACTAGATGTTCTCAGCCTGGCGGTCAGAAATATTCAACCCACTTCCTCTGAGCCCAAGTCATCCTGGACCCACCCAAAGTCTGTTAGTATACAGCAGGGGTCTCCAAACTTTCTAAACAAAGGGCCAGTTTACTGTCTTTCAGACTTTAGAATAGAATATGTCCCTGTCAGTGGGAGTAGACAATGTCTCAGGCTTGGTGGTCAGTGGGAGTAAAAATATTGCACAGCGCCTGTGTACATTAGGAGGAAGAATAATGCTGTATATTGGTATTAGGAGGAATAATGCACCATCATTGGTGTCAGTGGGACAAATAGTGCTCCATCATTGGTATCAGTGGGAGGAATAGTGCCCCATCATTGGTGTTAGTGTGAGGAATAGTGCACCACCAACTCATGGGGCCCCCAGGCAATTGGGGATCATGGGGCCCCTGTGTCCTTGCCCACACTCAAAACACACCCAAAAAAGCCTATAAAAAGGTACCAGGGGCATTTTATGGGGCTCCCTACTGACCCCAGGCCCTCGGGCAGTGCCTGAGTGCTCGAATGGTCAGTACACCCCTGATAGTGATAGATTGGTGTCAATGGAAGGAATGGTGCCTCATGTCGGTAGGAGGAAAGTTCCCCAAGGGCTGGATAAAGGCAAGCAAAGGGCTGCATTCAGCCCACAGACCACAGTTTGGAGATTGCATGTATACAGAAAAAGGGAAGGCAGGACAGTGAGCATATCTGTCTGCCACTATACTTTCTCCACCTATCAGAATGCTTCTTGTGAACATATGAACTGATTGACTCATTGTACTGCTTCTTTCTCTCACTCCAGCTCTGCTGTACAGAAACTGCAGGAGGCTGATTCCAGATCAACTTCACTTACTTACACTGCTTAAAAATAATGCATTTAATAATTTATGAATGCATTGTATTAACTGTTTCCTGCCTGGCCTATAGTAGACAAATAATGGCTGGGCTGCTAGTACCATGAGATCACTGTGATTAATCACAGCAGATCACATGACCATTGTACACAATAGATAGCTTTCATTCATGCCATCCATTTTGTACTATTGTGTTGCTCGCTGTGATTAGTCACAGTGATCACATGGTACAGACAGGGCCAATCACAGCCCCTCTGTACCATGTGATTAAGCTGTTGTGATTCACAGCTAATCACAACAATACACACTGAATGAATCGATTTCTTTCAGTAAAAATAATTGTTTCTAACAGTAATATTCACTGTTATAAGCAATTATAATGTGTAAAAGAAAAGATCCTGATCACCTCCCCAGAGTAGTACAGTGTTACATAGGATAAAAAGAGAAGCTGCAGCGCTAAACAGAAAAATATTGAATAGTGTCAACAGCTAAATAACATTAAATGCAAAAAAAGTAAAATTCACATATAACAAAATGGTGTTCAAATCAATGATTGTGGACTGTGACAAATGGAATAAAATATTCCCAATGACCACTGTATAATACATTTTCACCCAGTGATCCAGCAACAACAGACGTGTCACCTCCACCAATGGCTAGATTGAAAACTCACCAGAAGATGTTGCTGTTTTTCTAAACATGATAATAAATTCCCAAGGTATGATCCTTCAGTGTATCAGGAAACTCGATAGTCCTCCTCATATCCCGCTCTGCCATGCACTATCATCCTCCAAAAACCACCAACAAATCTCTCATAGTGTAGTAGTTTTAATAAAATGCATATATACACACAGATAAAATAGCCAATTACTATGGTATTGCTCTAGTCACAGTATGTAAAAAACAAACAAGTGTAATAAAAATGAAAACAAATATTAATTTTTTTTTTTTTAATTATTTTTTTTTTTATATACTGTCACCAGTCACTGTCCCTGCTTACCAGTTATATGATGATGTTGTTCTGCATTGGTGACATTACGTAAAAAAAAAAAAATATATAAATAATAACACCTATTTTTTAAAATTTCTTCAGTTTCCAAAAAATTGTGACAAAAAGTTACAACTTCAAAAAACTAACCATGCCTCTTACCTTGGACTGTCTACTTTTCAAAAAAGGGGTCATTTGGGGGATATTTGTACTGTCCTGGCGTTTTTTGGGCCTCAAGAAATCGACCATCAGTACATCAGGATTGATCAATTTTTAGATATACTGTATACCATCATTTGTGGACTCTAACTTTTCTACAGACTAAATAATATACACTGATTGGGGTTATTTGTAGCAAAGAAATATAGCATACATTTACATACAATACATTTTGGTCTACATTTGTGAAGAAAGATTGTTTATTTGCAAAATGTTATAACAAGAACGAAGAATATGTGTTTTTTTTTTTTTTTTTGTTCTTTTCAGTCTTTTTTCCGCTCCTCACAAGACCTCCTTCTCTCTAGTTCCCTGGTCTCCTCCTCCCATGGCCACCTCCAGGACTTCTCCAGGGTGTCACCCATCCTCTGGAACTCCCTGCCCCAACCCATCAGATTATCACCTACTCTCCTCTCCTTTAGGCGTACCCTGAAAACCCATCTCTTCAGGGAAGCCTACCCCACCCCCTGTTAACCTGCCGACCTCCTCCACTCATCCTACCACTCCATCCCCCACAGCTTTCTCCTCCTGTGCCACCATCCCCTCCCTCCTAGATTGTAAGCTCGAAAGAGCAGGGCCCTCGATCCCCTCATGTTTTGCATTGTATTGGTATTGTTCTGTCACATGTTCTGTCCCCCTTTGTAATGTACAGCGCTGAGCGAAACCATTGCGCTTTATAAATACTGTATAATAATAATAATATTTAGGATAAATCAAAAACATAGTGGTGATTATATACCAATAAAAAGGATGCAGCGCTATGAGACTTTTAGAGTGAAATATGTGCAAGCGCTATACAGCACTATAAGTGATATGTGATACAGTGATACAGTGGTGTCGTCTAAATATGACATATTGGTATAGCGTACACATACATAAATAAAATTTAAAAGAAATCAAGTGACTTTAGTGATTAATAATGAACATGATATAGTCCAATAAAGAAATGATAAATATTGGTGAATTCCGTAACTGGGTGACTGGTAGCTGGTAATACGATTGCACTAACCAGAAGTGCAATATAAAAGCGCATTAGTGCATAAAGTTATCCCGTCATGGTCATCTGGATGTGGATAGGGATGTGGAAAATCATCTGGCACACGTCAGCATACAAGGTGATTAGCAGACCTATCACACAACCTCCAGGGACATCACGTCAGATATCGTTGACCATTTGGATGGGAACACAGTGGGTATATTGCAGAACTCCACCTTGGTGGCTCGTTAAATAACGAGCCAAAGAGAGAATTCTTGATAGTGTACACTATACCAATACGTCATATTTAGACGACATCACTGTATATTATATCACTTACAGCGCTGTATAGCGCTTGCACATATTTCACTTTATAAGTCTCATAGCGCTGCATCCTTGTTTACATATTTATTTAGAGGGTCACAGGTTTCACCTTGATGCAAGCAGCTTGTTACCTAGCGCTCGTTATTTAACTTGTTTTACTATATACCAATAAAAGAAAACTCTATTTGTGTGAAAAAAATTATACAAATTTCATTTGGGCACAGTGTTGCATGACTGCGCAGTTGTCATTCAATGTGTAATAGCTCTGAAAGCTGAAAATTGGCCTGGGCAGGAAGGGGGAAAAAGTGCTGGGTATTGAACTGGTTAAATAGTGTTTTTTATATCCGACTAGAGTTCAACTTCAAATGTATTT